TCTTTTCAAAGCTGCAAACAAACATGGCTGAGGCAACAACAACAAGCTCATATTTGCAAACCAACACACCAAACTGAGATAAACAAAAGTGCGTTGCGCTAAAGATAAGTTATGAAATAAACGAAACTGGGTTGCTAAAGGCACCAACCGAACGAGTGTCTCACTCCTTTTCACTTGATTGATCAGCTCCTCGTCCTCCTCCTTTTCCGTCTTACGATGCCGATGATCACCTTCCGTTTCAATGCGCTGATGACCACCTTTCGAGCTCTTCGATGCAACATCTTCAAAATGAAAGCAGACAGCTTTAAGTGAACAAGAAAACCTACTGGTACGTGTATAACTGTAACACACGCACATGGAATATTGCAAAATGCAAACATTAATTGCAATATATATATTAAAATAGGAAATATGCATTAAAATCAATTATAAAATTGTATTGACCCCCCACCCCCTTATATCAATAAGGTGCGGAGGTACCCGGAAGTAACCAGAAGCAAAAATTCACTGGCAAACTTGACGATGGCTCCCTCTTCCGAGGGCTCTTGAAAGCAGCACACTGATAACGGCTCGTTAATTTCCCGACTTGCACCTGTATCGATCTAAGACCGAAATGAATAAATGGCCAGCGCACCAACTGCCGGTGCGAAAATGCGTTTTTTGCATAGTTCCCCACAGTTTTCGTCGCTACCAGCACCGGTTTTCCCGGCAAATGCTTCTAGCTAAGAGATTGAGACTGGTCGCCAGGGCTGTCTGAACATCCCTTCAAAACTTCAGCTTCCCAGCTTTCCTGGTTTTCGAGTTAGCAAATTACCCGAAAAAACTTTCACGGACCCGTACGTGGGTACTACGCATATTCGGTGTCTGGGTTTGAACTCATTAATACCTACATGGATGGGGAACATCCCCTTAAAATTTCAATCTTCTAGCTTCTCAGGTCCCCGAGTTAGAAGCTTACCCGAAAGGGACTTTCATGAAGGTGAGGGCGCTCATTTTGCAACGGGGCCCAGTACATGTATGTAGATTAAGTTCGCAAAGTTTCAGCCCTGTAGCTTCTGTAGATCTCGAGATGAAAAACCGGTACAGACGCGCACACGCAGAAAACCCTTCGTCAATATGCGAATTCCGCATTGCATAGATGCAAAAAATGCATAAAAAACGAATCATAAAGTACTGGCAGTCCCACAGTGGGAGTTGACCTTTTAACCATCAATACAAGGGCAAATCTAACTGCCAAGAACCATACTAACGGATGTTTTACAAAAAAGTTTGTATCAATATTTTCGTGATCATTATTATCATTATCTTATCATTATTGAAGACAGTATCATTATTTTCTGTCCTATAAATTCCAAGGACAAAGTTTTTTGAATGCCACTTATGCAGCAGTGAAAGAACACGCAGAATGCAGTAGGAAGATTCAACTGAGCAACTTTTTGAAATATCGATGAAAGGGGTTCCAAACAAACAGTGAAAATATTTTCAACTGCATCAGTGGCGAATAAAGACGAAGAATAGTTAGCAATATAAAATATAAATTTATTAATTTTATGCCTAATATTTATTTTTCCCAAAACAACTTCAAAATAAATGATAAAGGCTCCACGATGCTTAGGAATTGAAGAAAATACTACGATTCTGTGGGAAGAAAGTTACTTCCGTGGCGGTAGATGCTGCCCCAATCAGGAATAAACAGCAACGCGCACCAGACTAGCCGGTGCGATTA